TTATGCCATCTCTTTCTTTCACTATTCCACGTTCTCAGTCAGTTAGCATTAACTTTTGACCTAATATCAAGGCTTAACGGTCCAAGTTCCACACCCCTTATCAGCATATCAAAATAGGCGGCACGCAAATGAAAGATAGGGAAGTAAGAAAGAAGGCAGACGAAGGTAGTAAAAAGTCATAAGAAGAGGGGGGAAATGTATAAACTAACGAAATTCAGCATGGTGTATGAAAAGATCTACGCAACTGATAACGATTTTAAGCAATATCATCTAGCTGACAAAAATTACTCATTTATTCATAAATAAAAAGAATACGATATGTATCAGTGAAGAAGTATTTCTTTTCAACGATTTCACTATCAAGCTGTTCAGTCATTTGTATTTATAATCGATTAAATGTCAGATAAATGCAATGAAAATTTGTTTCCCGTTGTTATACAAGACCGAATTGCTCGACCTCTGTTGTTGACAGATAGGCTTCTATCCGGATGCCTCGACACTGCCGGATATTCATGATGTTATATTCATGTTGGTGACTAGCAAATGAATCGAGGGCACACATTTCGTCCTATTCGGGACTCATCAGCTGGATGTGCCTATAATTCAGTAAGTGATATTATTCCCACTGAGACTCGAACCCAGTACTCATCACTACAAACGCTACTGGGGCACAATAGCCACCTCTTGTGACGAGTCCTGAATAGGACGAAATGCGCGTGCTGAGTCTCCCTCTGCTAGTCACCAACATCAATATAGCATTGAAAAGTTGCTCTGTCAATATATACATGATACAATTGGTGTTGGTGGTGGTGGGATTAGTTCGGGCGGAAGAAATGGAAAATGAATCATTGAATATAGAACGAAATGATATCAAGTGACATAGAGATCAAATGCAAAGACAGAATCTGCGTCTGAATTTTCGACAGGATTATACTATACTGGAATAGTTAAACACGTATGTCTTGGGTGCATTTGGGAAATTTTCATTTAGCTCAGTAGTTTTGAAACTCTTCAGGAATTTAATTTTTACATCTTTATATCTCTTCTTGTTCACCTTTGAGACATAGAATTCAAATGAGTCACGTTCTTCACTCGTTAATTCGTAACTAAAATGCTCTCGTTGAGAAATGTTTCTCTGAAGTTCAGGAAGACGTACACGAATGGTGTCAATCAGATTTAAGACATGCCGCTTCAACGTTCGACCATTAGGATTACAATTCAATGCTTTCTAAAAGAATTTAGGATAATCATGTTTAATAATACAACTGTTCAGTATATCGATTTAAGCATTTGACCCAAATTATTTTTTTTATCATCATCATTATACACTTCACTGACAGCATTTGATCCTAATTTCAGCACTTGAGATCATTTCGTTCCATATTCAATGACCCATTTCTTCTACATGAACAAATCCGACTACCAGCACCAATTGTATCACATAGTATACTGACTGAACAACTTTTCAGTGCATTTATCCGACATTTTACCGATTATAAATACGCGCGACTGTACAGCTTGACAATAAAGTCGTTGAAAAGAAACATTTCTTCGCTGAGATATCACCTAGAGTCTCTAAACATCTGCTACAGTCTCCTGTACCCCAGTGGGGGATTCTACATTCGCATATACACCTAGGACTAATAAGTAGAAACTTTGTGGACTGATGCCACGTCTTAACCTGTCTAGTTCTAACCTTTTCCCAGCCTAGACCAACTTCAGCTAAGGTTAGACAATGGACAGACGGTGACCGAGTATGTGTTAAACATCTCGTAGCTATAACTTCACCAACTGACTTCCCTCTTCTGTGTACAACTCTCTCTTTCTGACATACGCATGGTAAGAAAGCAACGGTGGTCAATCGTATAGAACCTCATGACATCCACTTCTTATGGCCGTACTTCCCAAGCAGTATAGCAGAACAGAGCAAACTGCAGCATAGCGTATATGGTCCCTAATAGGATACGGGATACCCTACAGGTGCTATAGACCGCATCACTTGGCGAAAGTTTAGTGAGCCTTTTGTATCCTAATCAACTCTCTGCAGTGCTTAGTTGAAGAGTTGTAATAAAGTATGCTTAGGCTTTATCAAAGAATCAAAACAACATATTCAACAGAGTAACATGAATTCATTGCCTTTTGTTACTCCTTCTGTTTAGCTGAATTCAAGGTAATATGAGTTAACTATTAAATATTTAAATTAGTATGCTTTAGAATATATAAGTTAACATACTTTGAAGCATTAATTTAAAATGAATTCTGATAAATAAAAAAAAGAGGAATTTTACGCTTCCTCCATATTATCGCTTCCTTTGAACGTTAATATTTTTTTACGACTACTAATTATTTTCTCTTCAGTAGTTTATCTGTGTTTTTGTTGAATTAAGTCTACTGATATAGGAATAATGCCCAATTGAGTTTGATCGCTGTGTCTTAGTATAAGTTTATGTTAACGTGCATACATCTGATGATTGTGGCTCTTATAATTTAGCTGAATTGTCTTTTGTGAATATTTTGTAACTGGTTTGAGCTGCTATCATCAGTTATTCATGTCAGCATACATACAGACAGATAAAATCAACGTAGAACTTAGTATACAAGTGTACTGGTTCAAGTTTTCACATTTGCCATAGTAGCATTAAAAGAAAACAAGTGGTGGATAAAAAAAGAGTGATAATAATATATGGAGCATTGGATTCTGACCCAGTGGCTCAGTGGTAACGCGCTGGTCGCGGAACCTGAAGGTCGCGGGTTCGATCCCTGCTGGTGAGGTCGTGGGTGCGCACTGCTGAGGAGTCCCATACTAGGACGAAACAGCTGTCCACTGGTCCCAGGTTTCCTTTGTTCCTCCAACTGATGTCAGTCTTCGATGAATAACAACTTGAAATATTTCCAAATCTCCACAACCCCCTCAAAATTTAATTGAACTAGTGCTCGTTGGTGACTAGCTTCGAGAAGTATTCCCGAAGTTCCAATGACAAGTCGTGACCGGTGGAGTCATAGCCTGATGGCCTTGAGGACAAATACTCAACGATGACATTGGGTGGCGGTTCGCGCTATATCGTGAGCTAACAGAAGTTGGGAATATGGAGCATTGGATTCTGACCCAGTGGCTCAATGGTAACGCACTGGTCGCGGAACCTGAAGGTCGTGGGTTCGATCCCTGCTGGTGGGGTCGTGGGTGCGCACTGCTGAGGAGTCCCATACTAGGACGAAACAGCTGTCCACTGGTCCCAGGTTTCCTTTGTTCCTCCAACTGATGTCAGTCTTCAATGAATAACAACTTGAGATAATAATATAATTTAATAATTCCCATTGTAACATCAAGAACAAGATATTCAGCGAAGAGACTCTTTTCAACGAATTTATTTTCAAGCTGTACAATCGTATATATATGGTATTTGGAAAAAATTATATCCTGTGAGGAAAACTAAACACTATATGGTGATGACAATAATAATAGAGCGGGTGATGACATAGGCATTTATGATTATAATAACAATTGAAGTGCGAATGATAACAAATAGATTATGTAATATATGGAATGGTACATAGAGAGTATATAACTCAGAAGGGGGTGAAAAAATTGTTGAAAATGGTAAATCAATTAAGTATTATGTAATGGCATTAGACAAATTGGACAAGATGAAGTCAATGTTTTCTAAAAGGATTAAGACAATTAAGTGAAACAACACCGGAAACTAGTTGAAGTGAAGGCGATTATAATAACAATAATAGTGATAAAGGAAGGATACAAAGGTTAAATTTTTTTTGTGGGAGGGGGAGCTAATGGGGTGGGAAAATGTTATGGCCATGATAAAGACAGTGACTGCACATACTTCTTTTGTACACACAGATCAGGTCTTAGTTCATGAATAGCTAAAGCCTCCGCTGTTTTAAGGAGTTGAAAACGAAGAGAACGTGGGAGGTTTGGGCGAATTCGATAAATAATTTCAAAGTCATCGTCTGGATTTGTTGTGTGATGGAAGTCAATCAAATGTTCTAGAATCGAACTTCTAACAGACTTTCTTTCACCTTTATAAAACCAAGCAGGAACATGTTCTCGTATACGTGTAGAAAGCATTCTCTGGCTACGGCCGATGTACCTTGCTCCACAGGAGCAGGTGAACTGGTAGATGCACATAGAGGCGGCCAAACGAGGAAGCTTGTCTTTGACGCAGGTGGAGAATAGGTTGCGGCTGGTAAAAGTCAACTGGAGTCTTGCTGCGAAGAAAGTCCTATTGATTGATCTGGTAAGACGATTCTTCAGTACATCCGATGCTAGGTCTCCTTTAAACTCTAGGCTCATAAACAATCTTTTCTTTGAGACCGAGTGGATGACTGGTTTAGTGTTTCTTTCCCGCATATTTTTATCAATAAAACGGCTAGGGTAACCGTTTTCGACAAGTATGCTTTTTAAGAAAGATAGCTCTTCCTCGATACAATCGTCACTACAGATACTTCTTATTCGATAGCAAAGAGAGTGAATAAGATTTCTTTTTCTGTTGATGGGCACCCAACTATAAAAATTAGTTAGTTGTCCGTTCCACGTTGGTTTTCTGTAGATGGATCTTTTAAGGTATCCATTCTGACGTCGGGTGAGAAGCACATCAAGAAAAGGAATAGTTGATTCTGATTCCTTCTCTATAGTAAACTTGAGGGCTTGATGACATTCATTGAATGAACGAAGCACGTCGTCGAGGTCTACATTTTTGTCGCAAATAACAAACGTGTCGTCCATATATCTTCTATAAAAGTCAAAGCTATCAATAGTTTGACGAAGTTCTGAATTTTCCAGTTTCGACATGAAGAAATCTGCTAGCAGTGGTCCCAATGGTGACCCCATCGCAATTCCATCTTTCTGTCTATAGATTTCATTATTGAAACTGAATTGGACATTAAATGTGCACCTCAACAAAAGCTCTTTCAAGCAGCTCGTTGGTAGTCCTACGTTCTCTACAATACAAAAAAACATTGAACCCCCCCCTGTTTTCTCCTAGCTTCGTGAACGTTTAGAAGAAGAACTAAAACAACCTCTACGTGCATATCGTCATTTTATCGAGAAACAAATTCTCATTATCTACGGTCAAATGGATGAAGCCAGTGTAATATTTGATCATGTTCTGTTGGGGACAACATTCAATGCATCAAATCGTGATGAATTAGACCGTAAACATGTTACGCATATCTTGAATGTTACTCGTGAAGTGGACAATTTTTTCCCTGGTGATAAATTTGAGTATAAAAATATCCGAGTCTATGATGATGAACAGTCATCGTTGTTACCCTACTGGGAAGAGACTCATCGATTTATTAATGAAGCTAAGTAAGTCCTACTTTGTATTTGTACTTATTTTTGTCCAGATTAAAAGGGAACTCAGTGTAGCGCTTATAAATGATATAGTCCTGTTTCTTGTGTATCATAGGACCACTACGCTAATAATCCACAGGTTAGTTATCGATTCTAAGGTAACAGAGGTAAATCAGTCGACGACATCATAAACTCCCATCGACTGAGATATGTAGATGCATATCAAGTCATTGTCTTTTCGTTCCACAACGTTTAAATGCGACTAGACTAAGATGTATAGTATCAGTTCACAAAGTTTGAACCACACAAAAAAGTGTTGACTTTCTTGTTGATGTTCACGAGACTACTGAAGTTGACAACTGAAGACTCTAGGTGATATTGCTCAAAATCGATGTCAGTGATGCAGATATATGTGTACGTCTTATCTGCATCTTGCCTGTTATATAGCATTGTATATTAATGATCTGAACCCCTTTTTTCACTATACTATGACTTCTCCCTAGTTTTGGTTGCATTATTTCTATTTATTTGTTTTTTTTCTTGTCTTATAGCTTTGTAAGCTATTTTAAGACGTGGGAACTTGAATTGTTACAAAGTAACACCTGGTTACATTTTCATGATGACTGAATGACTGTTTAGCTAATAGATAGGCGGACAAAATCATTGTATAACCTAGCACAAATGCATTGGACTAAGTTGCCACACTTCACAGAAGTACAAAAAGAACAGGTGGATAGAAAATAACTGATATCAAAGTAGACAAAGTAGTGTGAGAGGATAAACAATTAAAGATAAAGGTTAGCGCAAATATTCAAGCTTGAGAAGACGTCAAGGACCGACCTCACGTCAACAGTCAGCGATTTTATGCACTGGTGCCAGTCGTATTCTGACCATTTTGACTCTTCTTCCAATGTAGTCCAACTTTTACTAGCATTGCACGTCAAGGTAGGCGGTAGCTCGACTTGCGCAGCATATGTCCAAGACGCCTCAGCCGATAAAGGTTCCCACAAGCTCATCGACTAACTTGCTTGTCTTACCTAGTACGCTTCGCCCGACCTCAACACTGCTCACACGGTGATTAAACTAACCGCAAGTAACCCTAGGAAGACACTTGTGGTCCAAAACATGTAACCACTTCAGCACAGAATACGTGTTCTTTAATGGGTAGTCAGATATCTCACCAGTTGGCAAATGCCAAATGGGCCTTCTGTATCCGAGTTGAGATTTCGTCAGCAACCACCTCGTTTGGGCTGATACAACTCCCTAAATAAGTGAAGTAGTCGACACATCCCACCATTTCCACTCTCCATTTAACTTGGAGTACTTGCAGATCAGTCCTGGAGTATCATTTTGCATTCAACAGGTGCGCCATGCACGCCAAACATATTAAGATTTCTACTCAACACGTTCAAGTAAATGCTACTGTTTCACTGTGTGATATTTCTAATAAACAGACTAAAATGGAATTACACTCGACCACAGTGCCCAAGTTTTACACTTATATCAGTTTCGTTTATCTTTTCACTCTGAAGAATAACTTTTTTGAATTAAATTAAGAAGTTCCACTTTCATTATATTTTTCAATTGTTACATTTTAATTAATTTTTACTGCCTAATTTGTTTAACCATATCTGTCGTATAACTCTTAAACTATTCATTTTTTTCAGAACTCTTGGTACACGTTGTCTTGTCCACTGTAAAATGGGGATTAGTCGTTCTGCATCAACAGTGAGTCTTAGCTTCTTTGAATTTAAATGTTGCAAGATTGATTGATTGGTTGATTCGAAAGTAGCTTCCACTACGTGATGACGTCATTTGGAGAACCTGAGAGTACTGAATAGCTGTGTCGTCCTGGTTTGCAAATCTTTAGTAGTGTGTGTTAACGATGTTTAGGCGGGTCGCCAGCCTAATTATCAGATCTAATAGTGAACGTGCTGCCATGTTCTAGAGTCCAATGATATACAACCTCCTACTCCTACGAGTTTATGGTTTAACATGACCGAAATCGAATGTTATCGGTCAATATTTTTCTTCATATTAGACTTAAATTGACTCTTCATGTCACAGCTTTTCATCAGAACTTCGGTAAATTCATATCGAAGCAAGTCAATAAGGAATCTTTATTATTATTATTATTATTATTATTATTATTATTATTATTATTATTATTATTTGTCCCTTGAGTTCCTAGTAGAACATAGGGCTTCAGTAGCACGTCTCCATTTCAATCTATTCTCTACAGCCTTTTGAACCTGACTCCACGACTGCCCACAAGGTTTCTTTCTTCCTCACACGACCTCCTCCATGTCACCCTCGCCTCAGACGCTCAACTCGTCGTTCCCCATCTGGGTTCCACTCGAGGGCATCACCTGGCGCTTCATGTCCCCAATCCGTCTTCTCAGTGTACGCCCAGTCCAATTCATCTCCACTTCCCCCTGCACACACGTTGGGTGATACGTTCATGGTTGGTTCCTTGCCAGCCTGCCACAGTTCCTTGTTCCTTATTCTTTCTGGCCATCCATCTGATAGTGACTATCAAGCCAGCGTTCGCAGCTGTTGATGATGTATGTCTGTAGTTTGTTACAAATACCTTTCATGACGCGCCAACTAGCTGAACCACATAGAAGCACTGACTCACTTGACTGACATTAGTGTTGAAAATCGGATCTTGTTCACACTTTATGCTGAGTGCAGTACATCTCCACATTGATTTCAAATTAATCAAGACCTGTCTTGTTGTGTATCCAAACCTGACTTTGACATCCTCATCTGTGCCACCTGTAGTTGAAACGGTTCTGACTTGCCTAGGTAGGTGAGAGACTACTTCCTTTAGGTTCCCCCGTTGATGGTGATTAGTGCTTGTTGTAGTTGATGTTGTTGGTTGGGTATCTTCATCACGTCTGTCTTCTCTACGTTGACTTGAAGTCCTGTCTTCGCTGCCTTGCCTCTTCTGTCAAGTTGTTGGCTTTTGCCTGTAGATCTTCGAGTTAGTGTGACAGGAATCAGACATAAATCACCATCGTTGGCGAAATCAAAATCGTGTCGGGTGATTTCGTCGATCAAACAGCGTATGGCCATCTTCCCACAGCTACTCACAGTATTTTGCATGATCCAGCCGACCACAACCAGAAAGATGATCGCTTATAGTAGGTGGAGCTTTGTCTTACTCCTTCCTGAATGCCATTCTCTACTCTGTTATACGATGATTAGTAGCCAGTGCTGCAATTTAGTCCACACATGATTTGTACTCACTGAATCCAGCCAGTCCGTTCCGGTCAAAATTTTGAATCCAGCACATCTGTTAAGATGATGCAGCTCAACGTTTTGTTGGGTGTGGACAGGAGTGGAGCATGATTCCTCAATAGTTCTTAGATCGCCCACTGCATGAGAGCCTTTAATGTTCTTGGGGTCACCAAGATAGCCACTCCATAACTCAGTGTGTTCATGGTTGTCGTCTGGGTGACAATATCGGAGTAGATTATTGATTCTACAGTTGACGGTTTCGAGAGTCCACTTCCATCTCATCTACTTTCGCAGATTCCAAGCACTTCTATGCCATACCCTCTCATCTCGTTTGCGATCTGGGCTGCCTTGCTAGGTTCATACATGGTGCGGACATCTCATGTCCCCATCCTTACTTTCGATTTCATCGAGGGAGAGAAGACATATCGGCCAATAATTGGCTTCCCGAAGACAGGCTTTCACCAACCGGCGTCATTTCGTCTCCCTGATTCCAGAGAAGAATAAGTCTCTTTTTATATTTTATATCCTCCTTGTGCTTTGAAGTTTCTTTAACGATTGGATTGGATTGGTTTTACGAGGTGGTTTGGTAGCCCTATGCCCAACCTTCTCTCTTTACCCGGGGCTTAGGACTGGCTAGTAACTAGTGAACTAGTTAACCAGGCGACGTTCAAACAGGAATAATACTAAACACTAATTGTCAATAATTCTCATTTATTCCACTGGTGTTTTCTTTACCTATCTGGTTTCATGCTATACAAATTCACGTCAGAGATTGTTCATTGCATGTTCATTTCGTGTAATCGTTTATTATTCATAAGATTGGGGGCTGGGGCCTTTCGTTGGCAAACATTTCGGTGTCATACTAGGTATCATCATCAGTGAGTGTATCAGTGCTTAGCATGTAAGATAGTTCTCACCGCCAACGAAGATCAACTGAGGAAGTGTTTTGAAAAGGTATGAAGCACACGGGACAACTACCTCGATGTAAGTTAGATGGATGCTCATCATTGACATTGTTTGATGGTAGCGCTGTCATGAGTTAAAAGATGTTGGGAAGTGTTAATCACTAGACTCTAATACATTCGATGGACAGTAAGTAACATATCGATCAGGAGACTTTTAGGCTCGGAACCACATCCAGTGTAGGACCATCACAAGCTACTCAAGTTGATAGCTCATTATCTAGTTGAATAAGCTAAACTCGTGTAGTGAACTGCTTATAAGCTGTATAAATAAGACAATTGAAGTTAGTAATGTGATGTGATTTCGGGATTACAGTTCTGAAGGTATTAAAGTAAACCAATTAGAATAGTGTACGGCAAGATAACTGGTCAATAGTCAAGTATCCTTGTTGATGACTTTGTAGACAATGTTGTTATCTTTTCAAATTGAAAGCTATTTCAAGCCAACTTTTCGCTTGGAACCAAGACTAATTTATTTCATACAGGCAATCTAATTTCATTTCCCTGCAATTTTTAGTTCTGTTGTTTGATCACATCAGTGAATTTAGTCGATGGATGATGACTGATTTGTGCTGTCAGGTGAGGAGATATTTCCCTCCTGGTTGTTAACTTCTTACTCACGATCGTTGTTTCTCATGCATATTTCAATGAAACTGTGAAATGTGATCAAGAAGCACTGAGTCACACGTTCGAAGCCATTTTGCTCGCTTCTACCAGCTTAACTCAGTACAGCTTACAAATTAACGGATGCGTTATTTCCTTTTAAACGATTCACTTTCTATAGTGGTAAAATCCTATTTATATGAATAACAAACAAACAGAGTCTATTATTGGCTAGCAGGTGAATATTAGGAGGAAATAGTGATTCGTTCCTAAACGTAGAGATTGCGTAATCCCGGTGTATAAAAAGAAGTCAGCGGTCGATTACGGTGATCACTAATTCATTAATTAAATAATAGTAGTAATAATACTAGCAAGTGTTGTATTGAGTAAAGTACCACGAGAATTCTAGTGCCAAATTAGAACTAACACTCATACACGTAGAAGAGTAAACCATAAAGTAAAAACAATAACAATAATCAGTCAATACAAGTCAGATGAATACTGAACCAATAAAGCGAGATATTGACCACTGTAAAACACAACATTCGTCATACCACTTCTATACGTGGAAATTGGGCTACAATTATTCAATTACCAACATCTCAGCTATATATGGAAGGACTAGTCAGCACTCCTTTTTACAAATCTGGTTTCACGTTGTATAGGATTTTGAAAAAGGACTGTGGGGAAACGATACAACTGAAGTTGACGAAATTGAGCTGTTACTTGGCCAGCATTTTCCTCTGTGTGTGGAGCCAAACTGGATAACCTTTGTACATTCATTTGGACAGTATGCGATTCATGCTGTCCAAACACACAAAACAGGTGGTAGTATCACTGAAGAATTTATTAATACAGAATCATCTCGTTAATCTTACTGTGGTATAGCTGTATACTTCTTCGATAAACTTAACTTATATACAATCATCCCCTTAAAAGGTGTTCTACGCATATGTCGGTCACAGACTTCCTGTCCTCAACTGCCTACTCTAAACACTCTCCGAATCTAATTCTACTTCAGCCAACATCCTGCGTCGAGAGAGTGGCAGTCCAGCAACCACAACACATCGAAGCCACCTCAATTGACCAGTGTCCTCAACATCATCCACTGAGTAAGCTTTCCTATTTCATACTCTACACACAGTATCAACATTATTCGCATAATTATCCCACCACGTAGATCCAATTAATTCTACGAAAACACACCTATGACCAGATATACCTATATCAGACGAGTTCTGCCATTCCAGCTGTAATGACTACGTTTCATAACGAACTGATGCACACCACACGCCTTCTGTGATTACCAGTTGAATATCTCGCCCGTGCACATTCACTGTATCCTCACTTAACCTCTCATCAACATCTAACACACTGTAGTCTGAACATGTCTGAAGTATACTTCGACAGTCTCACTCATCTGATCGACTGTAGTCGAATCACATATCATTGTAGCACAGTTTACACTTTCATCATCCTAGCAAGTCAGTCATCTAACAAGCTGTTGGATGATCTGGTGAAACAGAAACTTCAGAAGATGAAACAACAATGGAGACAGGATGTGGAGTGCTTTTCGGAGTGACCATGTATACACGCTTAGCACTCACTACACAGTAATTGTATTACTACCAGCCTACATGTGAAACTGTTAATGTGTGTGTGTAACACACCAAGTCACATTGCTTACCTTCTAAAACAGGTTACTTACTAAACATCATTCCGTGTGGAGAAAACACACACTTAGTAAACAACTCTGCATGGAACACAAATACCTCTGTTTCCTTCCAATAATCAAACGTTAAACTCTCATGCTAACTCCTTTCTTTGTGTTTGTTAGATATTTCACACACTGAAAAGAATTCTTAATTGAAAAACGTCTCAGTTACAGCAATCCATACAATCGTATGAGCTGCTCACATA